AACCTCGTTTTTACCGTCTGGCTGCCGGCCGAGGCATGCCAATTTGGCCATCGCCGCTTCCTCCATCGCATACTAGCAGGCCGTCTGCGACCCGGGGCGCCTGCTAGGACAAATGCTCGAAAGAACCGCGGCCGCGAGTCTGGAATCATGCAACATCCAGCGTATCATTCCGAAGCCGACCCGCTCGACCAAGCGCGCCCGCCAGCTTCACACGGGCTTCTGGCAGCATGGCGCATCTGCCATTGAGCTCTCGAGCATCTGGCCTGCCGTGGGCCGGATCCCCGAGACGGAGCCTGTCGAGAATGCCACCCGCCCGCTGCAGGCAGGACTAGTCGCCTCAGCCTTTTTACTAGATTTTCTATATCCAAGCGCCACATACTCGCTCCTACGGCGATTGTATCCACGCCTCCCGCGGCCTCAGGAAGGGAGCCAATCTGGCGGCGCTGCGAGAAGAAGGCACTACACTTCTTCCACTGCTACCGCCGAATATGGCTCGCAAAGCTCCGAGTCTGTATTCCACCCCAGCACCTCGACCCCACCATCCATGGAATGTCTTTCTTCGGTGGGGAGCCAAGCCCTTCAGAGAGATAATGGAGCACCCGTGGCGAGGGATTCACATCATTTCAACAATCACTCGAAAGCTGCCTCTCAAGACCAAGTTTCCCACCGCTCAGCTCCCACACGCGCAAAACACACGCCTCGATTGCAGTCGAATGCAGCGCTTCTACATGACATGCTTTCACACCAAGGCGAGGAACGCTTTCACGATGTTTGGGATTTATACTGCAGGCTGGAAGAACAGCACCAGGCTGACTTCCGCCGCTACATGGTTATCTACCTCTCTAAATCCCGCGGCATAGTGGAGATTGGAAGGGCTATTTCGCTGTTCCGCCAGGTTCCCGTTTCCAGCTGGGATGATGATCTTCTCGCTGCGGGTGTCTTGGCCTTTATGCGATCCGGTGATCTGGAGTATGCCATTAATAGATTAAAGGTTGGAATGGACCTCAAGGGCCTAGTCGGTGGTCTTGAGTACGTCTTGGCCGATATCATCGCCAATGAGAAATGGGCCATGCTTATAGGGGTATGGTTGGAATTCTACGCATCTCGCCTCAAGTTCGAGCCAGCTGGCCGACCTGATGCCATTCGCTTGCAAAGACTCGAAAACCTGCCCGGCTTGGACAAGCTATTCTTCTCTTTCGAACAGTATCTCTCCACGGAGGGTATAAAAGCGATGCGCCCAATCAACATCTACGAGACGACGAAGCTGGGTCTGAAAGCTTTACGGCGGAAGTTGGCAGAGCTGGCATTGGCCCATCCTTGTCAGCCGAGGCAAGCGGCTGCCATCTTGGAACTCTTCAGCGACCACCAAATGTACGAAGACTATTTCCTTCACGTGCTGGAATCCTGGCGCGGCAAGCCCGAGCTTGCCTCCAACGTCACTTGGCTTTCAGAGCTATACAAGACATATCGCAGACTCCCTGGTGCGCATCCGCCAGTCTCTTTGCTTCAGCACATGTTTGAGCTACATTATCCAACCGGCGCTGCAACACTCGAAGAGATTTACAAGGACTGGCATCGTGTCTGGGGCGATTTGGATCAGTGGGGATACGAAAAGTTTCTCAAGTTTTACGCTGGCGTGGGCGATGTCCAGGCCGTTCAACAGCTATGGGGGCGATATGTGGCCAAGTATCCGCGCATGTTGAGAAAACCCAGAGCTTTTAGGAGCACAATGAATGCCTATGCGCAGGTTGGCGACGTCACCAGGGCAGAAGAGGAGCTTCGAATCATGACGGATCAGCATGGAGTCAAACCGGATCTTGATATTTGGAACACGCTGTTGAAGTGCTATATGAGAGCGCAGGATTACAATAGAGCGGTGGCCTGCTTCAATGAGATTCGCAGCATGTACCGCCCCGACTCCTTTACATATGCCCACATCATGGCCATGTCTGCCAAGAAGGGCGACTTGGAGACAACGCTTGCCTTTTTCAACCGATCTCAAAAAGACCGGGTCCCTGTATCGAAAGAGATGGCCATGTCTTTGGTCATGGTGTACTGTCGCAATGATCGATTGATGGAGGCGGAAAGAATATGCATGGAGTTGGCGGAACGAAATGCAACGAGCACGGCCATTTGGAACCAGCTCATCCATTTCAACGGCATGCAAGGGAGACTCAACAAATGCTATGAGCTGCTTCAGGCGATGAAGTCGTTTGACCTTACATGGGACCACCAGACGCACGAGTTTCTCCTGCAGGCGCTCGTCAGGGTAGATCAGGTACAACCTGCTTACCGTCTCTTGCGGGCTGCCTACAAAGAGAAACTCTTTCCAGTTGGGCCGGAACATTTTGCTGTTGTCATGGCCGGCGCTGTTCGGACCGGCGACCTTGGGCTTGTCGAGATTCTCGCCACGCATTTGCTCAAAGCAGGTCAGGCGATGAACTTTAATGCCAAAGTAGCACTGGCCGAGGCTTCGTTTAGAAAGACGCCATCTTCAAATCGAACACGACAGCTTGGCAAGGAATTCGTCAGCCACCTGCGCTCTATGCTCATTCACGAGACCAGAGGACGAGATGCCGACGCTGTTTCGACGCTTCCGAGTGATATTCGGCACCTGAAGAAGCAGACTAAGAGCATCGGCCGCGCTATCAAGCTTCTAGTCGAGCTACGAGACTTTGCGACGGCCAAAGAAGCCATGAATTTGTACAGCAGCATGTTCCCCAAGCATAGGGGAGGCGAGCCGTTCCCTCCCGAGGTGATTTCTGCGCTCATGCTGGGATACTTGAAGGACAGGAAGTTCAGCCAGATACACAGGATGTGGGACGAAACCTGGAAGAGGGTCCTTGGTCGGGCTCAGCGCCGCCAGGCTACGGGTGTTTACCCCGTCCACGAATACGACGTCTCGAGACCGATGACGATTGTAGCAAAGACTTTTAGGGAAGAGAACAACGGAAAGGGCCTGCTTGAATGCGTCCAGCAGGTCACTTCATCTGGGTTCAAACTAACGAGGAACAACTGGAATCTTTTGATTCGATATCTCGCCGAGATGGGCCAGTGGGAGCCCGCCATGCGCTGGTGTGAAACCATGCTCATGCCGCGTTGGCGTGGCTGGAACCCCAGCAAGAGAAGTCTTCAGGAGCGTCGTCATCTAAAGAATACTCGCGTGCTCCAGGCTTCCAATGCCGCTGTCCTCAGCTTGCAGCACCAGTGGCTGAAGCTGCGCAAGTTGGCTGCCTGGTCTGCTGACGTCTCTGCCAAGCTGAGGGAGATTGAGAGGCTTTATCCTCGTTTGCATTATGCCTTTACCAATACGGATTTCGAACATCTCTCTGGTGGATGGGATGTTAACCGGAAAGCAAGCCTGAAGAAGAGGGCTACGGAGATTCTCAGGCCCTTTTCACATGCTGAGCTCAAGGGGATGAAGAAGACGCTGGAAAGACAACTTCGGTCACAGCGTAGTAGGCAGCAGAGAAGGCGTTTGAGAACCCCCCTGCGAGCTGTGCCCGGCGTGTCAAGGGGTCGAGCTCGTGATATGCGGAGATCTGTTGCCAAGGCAGAGAAGACGGTGCCCAAGGACAGCGCGGAAAGAGGCGAATGAAAGGAAACGAGTTGTTCTTTGAGAGGCAGTCTCTGCAGTGTAACAGGGGGCATAAAGACATTTGGCACATGACATGTTTGGTTTTGAAGTCTCAGCATAGAACCTTTTTTGGGTAATCTAGAGATTAGGGGCGTGTAGGCTTATGTACAGTAGGAAATATCACAAGCATGAAATGATGAGCATATATAGAAAAAAGAAAGGCTTCTCTGGCCATTTACATATCCAAGCATGACGTCTATTGCACACGGGCTGGAAGGTATACGATAGTAGTGCTCAGACATTGAATACCAGAGTGTCTGCTACTATTGATATTTGGTTCTGGTTTCCGCTACTCTCGTCATATTTTTCTTTTCTTTTCATTATTTACTACTTACAGTTGGTTTCATTACTTATCACTCACGTAACTTTCAATTTGAAAGACGAGATACTAGATAGCAGCCTTGGAGTTAAAATATCTTTGATAAATTTCAAACCAAACGTTCGTCTCCTGATGGGCCATTCAGAATGAGACTTCAAAGATACGTCATCTAGGCAGCAACAAGACTTAGATGAAATTAGTGTCACGTATTGCTCGGTCCTGTGATGCCAGTCGTTCTGTTTGCTTTGATGAAAGAACTGAATCGAACAAAGGACCAACCTCAACGGCAACAAAGCCACGTCACGTCACGACCACGGCGGCTAATAGTCACGATACTTTCCCCCGTAATCTCTTTGTTCAAAGTTGACCCTTTGTGTCCATCCATCCGCCTTGTGCGACGAATTCCCGTCAGACGTCAAGCACATCTCTTTGACCAGAACTGAACCCGTTTGGCCGTCCATCCGCCTCGTGCGACAGTTCCCACTGGCAAGCGTATATCTGCCATTGGAACTGGAAATATGTGTGACCTTTTCTTGGGTTGCCTTGTGTGATGGTCCCCAATTGGTGATGGAAACACTCCGTTCACTGTATCCCCCCCTGCCTACGATTGCTAACCGCAGCGTTTCACAACAAACTTCCGAGGGGGGGGTCGAACTGCAGAAACGTCCAGGGCCAATGGTGATGGTAGGCAATGAGAGGGCTACGGCACACAGAGTGGCGGTATTCGGGTACGCACATGTAGCTGTGACCTCCGTATACACATTTTGGAGCTTTTTGTCCCGGATTGCTTGTAGAAGACCTTGTGTTGATTCTTATGATGAGTGTAGACAGTCTTCTGCTCGTAGTATATATTGGCCCTGTATCGTGCTTTTCTTCCGATTCATCGACAAGAAACCCAATATACAAACACTTTCATATAAGATTCTTTCAACTATTGATTCTTTTTCCCCCAAGCAGTTCCGAAGGAACCCTTCGTTCAGCAAGTGTCTTGGCCAACATCAGACAATACTCAACCCGTTCACGTCTGGTAAAGTCAAGGTCGCCATGGAAAGCAGCGACAAATCCTTCCAGACCTGGACAGCAGCGTCGCCGGGAGGCTCGAGTGTGGCTGCAGAATCCCAAGAGCCACTGGATTTTCCATCAGAAACGGAACAGTTGTTTGAGTCCACATATGTACCTGAATATTATTCCAGTGATGCTATCGCCATCGTTCATTGCCCACCACCATTGGCCACGATAGGCGCTCGGTCGTGGGAGGAAGAACCTGCAAGTGTCAAGAGCGCTCCAGCACAGGGCCTCGCCCTCCCTGCTGACGACAGAAAAGCAAGCGGTCATGCTTCTGGTTATGAACTGGGCCAAGGGTCTTGTGATGAGGCTGCCACTGCACAGCGCACTACGCAATCTGCTCTTGAGACATGCCGGCAGAGCATCCAAAGGCTTGCCCTCACACTGGCCAGGGATAATGTCATCAAGCTCATCGTGAACCAATATGGCATGAAGAAAAAGAAACATGTTCGAGCCACGAGAAAGCCGTTGATTCTTGCCCAGACAGAATGTGAGATTGGCTTTCAAGTGAGGGTACGCCTCTGCTTGGACAAAGAGGATTCTGCCAACAAAGGGGAGGCCCCAGAATTTACGATGAAGGTCATATTCGATCCGAAGACTGATACCATCATGCTGGTCAACAAGACTAAACGGGGTGAGCAACATGTTATCACGGTCAGAAAACAGTCTAGTCCTCCTAGGGAGGTACCAATCAGGATCGAGTCTTGTGAAGGAGCCATGCTTGGTCCGGCCGAATACAGCATCTCTTGGTTGGGCGAGCATATTCTCGACATGACCGTCTTCCCACGCGGGTACATGTCCCCGGTCCCGCAGCATCGCAAGCCGACGACGAAACGGAAGAGGGGAGCTCTCGAGGGGTTGGCGTCACTGTCCGCCCCCCTGCCAGCCAAGAAGCCCAAGACAAAGGAGGCGAGAGAAGAGCCAGATGCCAGCACCGTCATCCAGGCGAAGCCGCCTATCGACGAAGTCGTTGCTGGAAGCGGGCCCACGGCCAGCAGCAGCCTAGGGCCCAAGTTGAACCCCATCGGCGACTTGTGCCATCCCCTGGAAGCGCTCAAGCTGCATGATGGAGTCAAGGTGGCCAACGCCGTCGAGGAGGAGGACTACACGCTTGTCCGCAGAGACAAGATAGCGGATCATCGGAAGTCGCTCGTCTTCAAGGCTCAACACTCGGACGTCGCGAAGGGGTTTGTTGCCGTCAAAGTGTGGCGCAGCCACTCGGAAATCGATCGTGAAGATGGCAAAGGCATGGGTCTTGACGTTGTAAGCGAGAACTGGCTCGAGGAAGTAAAGATTCACATGAAAGTGAGCGAACACGTAAGTTGAAGCCATCTCCAGTCCTTATACATGCTACGTACTAATGCTTTTCTAGCGAGCGATTGCCAGCATCCATGGCTTCGACGCAAGGTTTCTGGCGCTCTATCTGGAGTACTTTGACGCTCCGAGCCTGGAAGCTTGCATCGATAGCAAGGGAAATCCGTATTGCACCCTGGGCAGCATCGACGCAAGACAGGTGCTGCTCGACATGATTGATGCCGTCAACTTTATTCACCGCAAAGGCGTCATCCACAACGATATCAAGCCCTCCAACATCCTCTATTCCGAGGAGAGGGGCGCGGTTCTCATCGATTTCGGGTGTGCAACGACCGGGTCTAACGATAGCGGTGGAACGCGGTGGTATATCCCGCCTGAATTCGGGAATGACGGTACACGCGGGGCCCCTGGCGACATCTTTGCCCTTGGCGTTGTCTTGCTGTTTCTCTTGCGCAAAATCCCGTTGCCAGAACTACAATCACCGCCCTTGGTGTGGGATTTTTGCCGGCGTGAAAGACGCGGCCAGGAAGCCCCTGAAGCCACAGGGCCACAGGCTCAATGGGAGAGTATTGTTTGTGAGGCTGCACGGAAAGTCAAGGAGGCAGTTGATGACGAATTTCTCCCGGAGGTATTGGAGAAGATTTCTCTAATGGTGGCGGTGACGGCCGAGGAAAGGGCTACAGGAGATCAGATCGTGGAGGCGCTTAAGAAGCACGACGACTTGGGTGAGAAGTACGTGTTTACGTACCAGGATGCAGAGATTTAGCACTTGTTGTACAGGTAGTGGAGGTTACATGTAGTAACAAAGATAGGTAGGTAGGTTACATGCATGTTAGGTAGTGGAAATGTACTTGTTCTTTTCTTGCTTTGTTCGAGATTCCTCTCCTTTCTCTCTCGTCTTTCCTTTGTGAGCCAGATGCTACCTTAGTAGGTACTAACCTACCTGTACTTGCTGGGTACAGGTATCTTGACATAAAATCAACATTCAAAGGAAACCTGGAAACGAGTCGGAGGATGACACTTGAAGCCGTACAGTCAGTTGTACCACTCTGTGCACCAGAGATAGAAATCCATCCACTTCTTTGAACAGCCTGGGCGCTTACACCGGGTCATGTGCCCAGCACCAAGCCTCATCACCGACTTGTGCCATCCACTGGAAGAGCTCGAGCTGCGTGATTCCGTCAAGCTGACCAACGCAGTCGAGCAAGATGTGAATCACTGACCAGTGCTTTAGGATGTATCGATAGGTACTGCCTACCTCCTGTAATACCCGCTTGGTATCACCAAGTTTCCATCCGTAACACCTGGCGCCTACCTACCTAGTAGTACCCATGGCTCAATCCTATTGGATTGGGGCTCCAGCACCGCATCACAAAGGCCAAACAAGCGTTTACGAGGTCCGTGTAGGCTATGTGATCCGTACCTTTGTTTCGCGTGTGTATAAATGTCCTGGTTGCCTCCCAAACGGCTCCCATGTGTCTTCATGCTTTCTTCCACACACCTCCAGTCAGTACCTTGCATGCCAGCCTCACCACTTTCTTGCCTCACTTCAAAATGAACACCGCAGTTCCCAATTATCGCGATCCTGCATGGAGCTGGCCCTACGAAAAATTTAATTTCAAGCACAAGGACCTCTTTACCACTCTTCATGACCGCTTCAATACTCAAACGTTGCCTCTACAAGACCTACCGGAATTCCACAGCGATGTCTGCGAACTTGTTGATGAATGCGACACTGAGGAAGAGCTCTACTCGGCGCTAGAAAAACGCAAGGAGAAGCGTATTAACCAGTTGAGAACGGCATGGAGTGATATCAAGGCGATTATGTGGTACAAGCCCGCCCTCATGGCCTGCAGGGTCTGCCACGAGGATGACTATAAAGATACAGAGAGGCCACCGGGATCACTAAACGACACAAAGTTGGAGCGTTTGGCTGCCTTTAGGAGATACGCCCGGACCCCATCGTTTGACAACATTGTTGCCTTTTTCGATGGCTACGCCAGAGATGAACGCAATGAACGCTCCGCAAAGTGGACGGGTAGAGGCCGACAACGGGGTATAGAGGACGATCCCTCCGCAGCCACTCCAGGCCCTACGGAGGCGGCCGAACAAGACAAGAAGCCAGAGCCGTCACGCAGAGCGTCTTCAGGAGCCCCGGGCGGCTCGCGGCCCACATCGTCAAGCGGACGGCATCATGAGGCTCGGGAGGATCTGATGCAGGCGTACAAAGTGATTGATAGGCTTTGCGAGATGATTGATGTGGAAGCCACTGTTGCCAATGAAGCCAAGGATCTATTCAGACGCATGGACGAGGATAAGATTACGCAAGACAATCCCAAGGAAGCTGCCATTGACGGCTGCATGTTTCTTGCCTGTCAATCACACAGAGTGGTCCGTACAGATCGACTAATCTTCGAAAAACTCGGTGCTGAGAGGAAAAAGGTTAGAAAAGTGGTTAAAGAATTCTACGACTCTCAGACAAGGTTCCCACATGCAGAAGGCGAGGACGCTACGCAAAAGCCTGTTCAAACGACCGTGAGAGACAGCACGAATGAAGAAGACGCACAAGGATCCCAACAAAAGAGGCGACAAGAGAGTGACGCCGATAAGCCAGAGTCGTCACGCAAAGCATCTCCAGGAACTCCCGGCGACAGATCGCAACCCTTGTCGCCAACGGGACAGCATTCTCAAGTGTATAAGAAGATTGAGGAGCTTTGCGAGAAAATCAACGCGGGAGAGATTGTTTCCAACGAAGCCAAGAACATCTTCAGGCGCGTGCATAAGCACCCGGTTCTGAATGGCGAGTCCCAGGAGGATACTTTAGACGCGTGCATCCTTGAAGCCTGTCGAAGACACGACGCAGTCCAAAAGTTTAGGGAAGGCTTCTACCCTACCTATACCGTTGTCCAAAAGCAGAAAGTTATTCGACTGTCTTGGCACGTCGGCCGCCCCCCGTTACGGTTCCCGTTTGCAGAAGGCGAGAGTGATGGAAACAGTGACGCGGAAAGGGGTGCTGCCAGTCGAGACAAGTCGAAGCGGGCTGAGAAGCGCAAAAGGCCAGACGATTCAGAAGATGAAGCAAGAGACAAGCGGCCCAGGACTGACCACGGTTCAGTGCCCGACTGTTTCCGGGTACCTGATTCACCCATTAGGAAGCCATTCGATGGGCGTGTGTATGTGTATGATGCGCCACCAGATCCATGGTCATCAGATTCATCAGATTCAAGCTCGCGTGGCGTGTCTCCAGTTGCAGCGCCCCGTGACGATGCTGAGGACACGGCCAACTGGCAATGGCCCCGAAAGAAGACGCAAATGCCAGCTCCAAGTGCGAGCGGCCATTCACCTCCCAATCAACATCCGGGAGCTGCCGACGCCGGCCAAGCGCCTCCACGAGGAGATGCTAAACAGCCTCCAGCCAAGGATACTTTTGCCGACGCGGTGGATTCGAAACGATCCAAGGGCAAGTCTCGGGCCAACCACCGGCAACGAGTCGACAAGAGACGATCAGGCAGGGAGCGGGAGACGCCGTCACCGCAGAAGCAGCCGCTTCAAAAGAACCGCCGAGAGCGGAAGGCTTCGCCCTCGGTTGATCAAGTTGTGCGTTCCAGGCGGTCTTCCAGGCGGGATACCAGGCAAAAGCTGTTGTTTCTTGACGAGGACGGCACCCCATGCGTGGCTGATTACGAACGGAAGATGTAAGTGCCTTGATGATGGTACGGGAGAAACATGACGGGAGGGGATTCAAAGCCGAGGGCCATTCGACCAAAGGCACACCCATTAACCTGGCAGGGCCGGGGGCAGTGGGCAGCCTATACGTCGCATGGGCACGAGGCGAACGGTGACTGAGACCGAGTGCTGGTCGGCCAGAGGACATACTCGTCAACCCGGCAGGGCTGGGGGCAGCGAGCAGTCAGTTGGCTCGACTAACAGCTCGCATGCGGTCGAGCCATCTTCCAGCATGGTCGTTAATCCGACAGGGTCGGAGGCAGCGGCGTAGCTGAAGAAGGTCTCGATTGCAATGCGGCTGGTTCCGGAGACATGGTCGTTATCCTGGCAGGGCTGGGTGCAGCGGCGGAGTCTTTGGGGGCCTTGGGAACAAGTCGAGATGCCGTTGGGAGACATCAAGGGGAGGGGGTTATGGAAGATGGTGTACGTTGGATGGACTCTGTGGAGGCGACATGGCATGTGTTAGCGGAGGATGAAGCTTTTGGGAAGATGTCTTTTGGTGTCTTTGCTTTCTTTGTTATCTGCGTCACCTTGTGTTGTCGCTCCTTCGGTTCTTTGTCTCCTTGGTTCTTTGTTTCTTTGTTTCTTGCTTCTTTGTCTCCTTGTTCCCTTGTCTTGTAGGTTCTTTGTTTCCTTGTTTTTTGTCGGCATATCTTGAATGTACCTAGCGTGCGTTTTTGAGATATCTCGTCTTGAGTAGTGTGAATCTTATGGTCATTTTGGCAACTGAAGTGAGCACCTGGGTATGATATCCTTGATCCATACACTTTTAGATGCCAGGGAGTTTAAAGCCATTCAATGTTAGTGGACCATCTGTAGGTCAACATACTGTTCCCATACGGCTTGTCATTGAAAGGTTGGGGGTATATATGTGAATTAATTCATGGCGCAATAGATGTCTACAAGGTATTCATCCTGATTTCCTTCAGGAGCTTGACATCTGGAATAAAACCGGAGGATATGCACGTTCTACTGTTTACATAGTTGCACGTTCAATGTGCTTGTGTGCTACCCGGTAGCTGGATATTGTTGATGCTGGCTGTCCTACGTAAAGATCAACCAACTCCACGAGCAATTGTGAACCAGATAGGCATAGAGCTATATCAATCACTAATTGCCAATCCCGTTACTCACTAGCTTAAATACGTAATGCTGTTGATACCTGTTCGGCAAGCTTGGGAGGGTTTTAAAGCCTCATTGTTCATTATTAATGTCGAGATGAAATGAGCCACGGATTATTAAGGTGAGCGAGTGCTACAGAAGCGCTTGTGACGTGCCCCGCAGCAGCCCACTTGGGTGTAGATTTGATGCTTGGGTATTGGAAATGTCTCCGGAGAGGCGGTATGAGCAGTGTAGTGACCTGTTGAGCGTAATTGACAGCCTTTGCATTGCATGGGTGTACAAGGTGAGGCCTTCGCAAGACATCTCCGGCGGTTTATCCCCATATCTCTCTGTTTGCTTGACTTGGTAGACGATACATGCCAACGTACGTCAGTCCTCGCGGCAGATACCCCGCCACTCGCGCAGCTCCGCACTCGGTCGCTCGTACCTGCTACCTCGCTCAGGTCCCCGCGTGCCGTCACTGGACCAAGCCGCCCTCTCCCGCGGTTTAGCCGATGGAATGTACTAGGCCCCTCGAATTTTCGGCCGTGTCGTAGCCAGATGCCGCCTAGAGCTGCCTCCAGTGGATTATTAACTGCATTGACGGCTCTGTAATACTTGCATCTCTACCTTGTTCTCCATTACTCAGTCACACACACCTTCAACCCGGCAATGCTCACGACGGGCACATTCTTGCGGGCTTGCTAAGAGGACCAAGAGCTGAACAATTGCGACCGTTTCCAGTTCTCGCCCTCTCTCTCGTGTGCCCTGTCTCCGTCTCCGTCTCATCACCGTGGGATTTCTAATACTACCTACAACCACCCAAACCCCCGAATCCCGGTAGTTGGACGACTCTCGAGCTTCGACTCCGCCATGCTGCCCCGATCACGAGCCTCTGGGCGCCTGATCCTCGAGCGCTCGGCCGCACACCCAGCTCGAGTGCTGTCCGACTCGATTCCCCGGGCATGGACGCTGAGCTCGGCTCTCCGGGCCACGCAGATCGCCGGCCGTCGCTATCCCGGATTACGACCCCGGATGCCGGGAGCGGCATTCTCCACAAGCGCGAGGCTGGGCAAGGAAAAGGACAAGGGCAACAACTTTTTCGATTCTGCCGTCGAGCCGCCGAAAGAGGACGAGGACGAGGCCAAGGCCAAGCTCGAGAACAGTGCCAAGGAGGAGTCCAAGGCCACCACCGCCGACTCAGTAGCCTCGTCTGCAAAGAGCGAGGGCGGGCAGTCGCAGGACGGAAAGCCCAGCGGCGCCGCGGGAAGTGCTGCCGGTGCCGGTGCCGGGTCTGGCGCGGGTGGTGAGGGATCCGGCGGCGAGGGCGGGAAGCGAGGTCGCAAAGCTGCCGAGAGGGCGCTGTCCAAGCCCGTCATCCCAGAGGTGTATCCCCAAGTCCTGGCCATCCCCATTGCCCGGCGGCCGCTGTTCCCGGGCTTCTACAAGGCCATTACGATTAAGGATCCCAATGTCGCGACTGCCATTACCGAGTCCATTAAGCGCGGCCAGCCGTATGTGGGAGCCTTTCTCTTCAAGGATGAGAACGAGGACGATGACGTGATTCGAAACGTCAACGACGTGTACGATACCGGTGTCTTTGCCCAGATCACGAGCGCATTCCCCATTCACGGACAGGAGGGCGCTCTGACGGCCATCCTATACCCCCACCGGAGAATCAAGCTGTCCAGTCTCGTTGCGCCTGGAGGACAGGATGCGAACAAGGCCGAGCCCAAGACGGAGCCCGAGCCCGAGCCGATACCCCAAAAGACCATTGAGGAGGATGCCCAGCAAGAGAAGAAGGGCGATGTGGTGGCAAGCTTCGAAGAGAGTGCCGTGGAGAAGAAGTCGGAGCAGCCGACAGAAAAGTACGAGCCCACCTCGTTCCTCAAGAGATACCCCGTGAGCCTGGTCAACGTGGAGAACCTAGTGGACGAGCCTTACGACCCCAAGAGCCCCGTTATCCGTGCCGTGACCAACGAAATCGTCAACGTCTTCAAGGAGGTGGCTACTATGAACAATCTTTTCCGCGACCAGATTTCCACCTTTTCAATGAGCCAGTCCACCGGAAACGTCACCTCGGAGCCTGCTAAGCTGGCCGACTTTGCCGCTGCCGTCTCTTCTGGAGAGCAGAATGAGCTGCAGGAAGTCCTGGCCTGCATGAACATTGAGGAGAGGATGCAAAAGGCCCTGATTGTGCTCAAGAAGGAACTCATGAACGCGCAGCTGCAGTCCAAGATTACCAAGGACGTTGAGAGTAAGATCAGCAAACGCCAGCGGGAGTATTGGCTCATGGAGCAGATGAAGGGCATCCGTCGGGAACTCGGCCTGGAGTCGGATGGCAAGGATAAGCTGGTTGAAAAGTTCAAGGAAAAGGCCGCCAAGCTGGCCATGCCTGACCCTGTCCGCAAGGTCTTTGACGAGGAGATCAACAAGCTGGCTCATTTGGAGACTGCTGCCTCGGAATTCAACGTGACAAGAAACTACCTCGACTGGCTCACTCAGATCCCCTGGGGCCAGAGGAGCCCCGAGAACTTTGGCATCCCGAACGCCGTCAAGGTCCTTGACGAGGACCACTATGGACTGCAGGACGTCAAGGATCGAATCTTGGAGTTTATTGCCGTGGGTAAGCTCCGAGGTTCGGTTGAGGGCAAAATCCTCTGCTTCGTTGGACCTCCTGGTGTAGGAAAGACGAGTATCGGAAAGTCCATTGCCAGGGCGCTTAACCGAGAGTACTACCGATTCAGCGTTGGAGGTCTGACCGACGTGGCGGAAATCAAGGGTCACCGAAGAACATATGTCGGTGCTCTGCCTGGTCGGATCATCCAGGCACTGAAGAAGTGTCAGACGGAGAATCCCCTCATCCTGATTGACGAAATTGACAAGATTGGGCGAGGCTACCAGGGAGATCCATCATCGGCTCTGCTGGAGCTGTTGGATCCTGAGCAGAACAGCTCCTTCTTGGACCACTACATGGACGTTCCGGTTGATCTGTCAAAGGTCTTGTTCGTTTGCACGGCCAACATGACCGACACCATCCCTAGACCTCTTCTGGACCGCATGGAACTCATTACCCTGTCTGGATATGTCGCGGACGAGAAGAAGGCTATTGCGAACCGGTACCTCGCCCCGGCTGCCAAGGAAGCGGCCGGTCTGAAGGATGCAGACGTTCAGCTGACCGACGAAGCCATCGAAGAGCTCATCAAGTCGTACTGCCGAGAATCAGGTGTCCGAAATCTCAAGAAGCAGATTGAAAAGGTCTACCGTAAATCGGCACTAAAGATTGTCCAGGATCTGGGAGAGGACGCCTTGCCCGAAGAGGAGGCCCTGACAGAAGAAGGCAAGGCCGCCGCTGCGGAGAAGGCCAAGGAGTTGTCTGCAGAGGCCGAGGACGGCAGTGCAAAGAAGGCCGCCACCGAGGCCAGCGAAAGCGAAACTACAGAGAAGCCGCGCAAGGCCCTGCAAGTGCCGGAGAGCGTTCACGTCAGCATCGGCAAGGACAACTTGACAGACTACATCGGACCGCCAGTCTTTACGTCGGATCGGTTGTACGACGTGAGCCCGCCCGGAGTCTCCATGGGCTTGGCCTGGACGCAGATGGGTGGTGCGGCCATGTACATTGAGTCGATCCTGCAGGCGCCCCTTCGACCCAGCTCACGGCCCGGATTGGAGATTACCGGAAACCTTAAGAACGTGATGAAGGAGTCGACTACCATTGCCTACTCGTACGCCAAGTCATTCATGGTCAACCAGTTTGAGGACAACCACTTCTTTGACAAGGCCAAGATGCACCTGCACGTTCCCGATGGCGCCGTTTCCAAGGACGGCCCTTCTGCCGGCATCACCATGACGACGTCTCTTTTGTCGCTCGC